GTCAGCTTTTGTACTAGACAAGCGCACCAAAGTGGAGTAACGGCCTTGCATCTGTCTCCCAGCAGTGACACAAGTTTAAATTGACTCGGTCAAGCGCTGGACTTCAGCCTCCAACGTCTCCACCTTAGTTGTAGACTCAGCCAAGCACTTCTTGTAGGCATCCCTTGCTTTAGAAGCAATCTTCGCATTCAGGGATGCGTTCGAGGCTTTCTTCTCATTATTACCAAGGTCTTTCTCTAGCTTCTCTTGATTGAGAGATATTGCACCTCAGCAGTGGCACATAGGGCCATAGTATGATACAGACCCTACATCATCAAACAACAGAGATAACAATGTAAGTATAGTGGAAGCAAGAACTAAAAGAGCAAGGAAGGAAGAAGGAACAAACCTCTATGGCGCGAACGGGGGCAGATGGAAGTAACTGTTCCAGTCCCATTCTGCCGATAATCTTCTCGTCTTTGGGGAACCACATTCCCCGGGCAACCACCAATGCAGCTGATGGATCGGTGATCATAGAATCACCAGAGTGCAGGACCGATTTATCAGCCCTAAGAAAAGGAAGGTGCCCAAGGAGTCCCAATTTTAGCCAAAACATATGCTCTGACTTCATCCTCTGGCTCAGTCTCTTCAGCTTTTTTCCCCTTACTCTTAGAAAGAGTCTTACTCCTGCCAGAGGAAGATGGATTGGGCCTAGTCTTCTTCAGAGGAGGCTCATCGACCTCTGTCTCATGCTCATTCGACCTGATAACTGCTAAGGGCCGGTCTTCAGCAGCTTTCTTCTTTAGGGCCTCAGCCCTCTATTTTCCTTCCTCAGTCATTGGGAAATTATCGAAGGTCGGAAGAGACAAATCCATGAGGTCTGCAGCTTCAACTCTGGATGCGATTTCCTTAAGGTTTGCCGAGGTAAGCAAATCCTCAATAGAAGAGGGCTCGCACCAGACTTTCTTTTCAAGAAAGGAAAGTCTCTTCTTAGCAATAGAGGAAGGGAATGTCACTAAAACAAGACCAAGAAATTCATAAGTATACCGAAAGAGTAAAACTTGACATGGGAAACAACCAGAACAATTTTTATGTAGAGAGGGGACATAATCTATACCTAGCTTCCCAAACTTGCGTGGGATTGGGAGCTTGCTCGATTGAAACACAACCCATTTCCCTTTAACGATTATCATCATCTCTCTCCACTATTTTCAGAGGAAGTGAGGTCTGTACATATCCTCTGGTGCAAGGGAAAGGTAAAGGAAAAAGTGACCAGGTTCGGTCCCATGCTTAAAAATAGTATAAGTAATCAGCAAGTCAGCAAGAGTCAGGTCAAGACTCTCCAGCCTTCGGCGAACTAGGAGTGCCGAGATTATTCGGAAAAAGTTAGGATTTACTTGAAGGGGCGAAATACCTAACTTATTGAAAACTAAGTGATAGAAAGGGTGAAGGGGGAACCAAAGAGCGTTGAGATGCCCAACTGAGAGAAGCAACTCGTCATCTCTGACGCCCTCACCAGCACAAAAATCGGCACCCTCGGGGTATTCTACGATCTCAACTCCCTCGGGAATCTCAAAGTCCTCCATTATAGATTCAATGGAACTCTTAATACGCCGAACAGATAGAATTGCATCTTTCTCTTCCTTAGTAAAGATATAATCAGACCCAGAAGTGGATGTTTCGGCTTGAAGAAGAGGGATGTTTGATTGATTGGTCAGATTCTTTGCAGAACCAGTAAGATTGGGACTAATAAGTGTGGGGGATGACGAGGGCGTGGATTTAGAATCCACGATTTCTATGTGTTCAGGAGTAGTCGAAGTGCTCATGATGCAAGATCCAAAAGAAAAAGATGAAGAACTAACCTGATAAGATGACGGAATGAAAAACGCAAGAAACGCAGTGAGAGCAGAAGTAACTCTTATGGAACCTATTAAAGTAGAATGGCAATGGGCAATCTTCGAACCTTCTTTTGGCAAAATAGATAACAGTGCAACTTCAATTCCCTTTTTAATAGGAGCCATAATCCAATTAAAGAAGGAATTGGGGGCAAAGTGTGGAGGGAAAAATCTCCCTCCATTGAAAATTGTACACATCATCATAGCATATTAGTATCCGTCATAAATTTCAAAAGCCCATCTTGCTCAAAGCCCAGACCAAGCCCGTTGCTAGCCTAAAATCATAGTCGCTAGCCCAAGATCGCAGTTGTCTAATCTCTAACATCGCTCAAGCCCGAACCAAGAGATCCAGCCCGCCAGTGAAGTCACATGGACCAGGTTATGTACGGCCCAAATCCATTAAAAGAAGATTAGTCCTGTCAGAAGAAGGATACAACAAAGAAATAAACTGCTATACAAGGAAAATTATAGAAAGGAATAAACTCTATTTGTAAAGAATTTTTATATGGAAAGAATTGGAGGACAAGCAATGCGAGTCCTACCATAATTCAACCACTATTTTGTGTATAAATAGAGGCCCAGACCTCTAATAAAAGGATCAAGCAATTCTACGCTTCTCTATACATTGTTCTTATTTATTTTTATTGCTTTTTGAGTGAGTTGTTTTATTTTTCTCAATCATTATTGGTTGAGCGAAATTTTGCACCTACACTCTGCTTTTAAAAAAAAAAAAAAAAAAAAAAAAAAAAAGAATTTTTAGGGTTTTTTTGTGGTTTGTTTTGTTTCAGGATTTTTATACTTGGCCAAAAAATCAAATGACAATTTTTCATGGGAAATGCTCAGATGGCAAAGTCATTTACCTAGCCATCATGGTGACAAAGGCTCCGTGAATGAAAAAGTACTTAGACTCTGCTTTCTAAAGACCAAAATAAAATAGGTAATTTACATAAATTTTTTTATAATTTGTTATAATTACAAGAATCTCTTCTCTGATTTGGAGATTTACTTAAACCTTCTTTAAGAATGAAAATATTCTATACGTACCTCCTTTCTGTTAGAGTCAACGTCAGTCAACAAAAGAAATTGCTGACGTCATGTACAAATTTTACTAAAATTTCCATAATTGTTGACATCATGTATATATATATATTTGTTGTGTATGTGTAAAGTGTAATCTCACAGGCCAATAAAATATTGACAACAAAGCAATATAATATATATGTGAAAAAAAAAAAAAAAAAAAAAGGAAGAAGAAGAAGAATAAAATAAACTAAATAGGGAAGCCATGGTGCCTGATCGTGGGATGATGGCAGCGAAGAGATAATGGACTCATTGAGATCAGTAGATCTTCGCAATCTCAAGCTTCAATCTCCCGACTTCGACTCTAGCAGCTCCTTCATGTCCTCCACGTTCAGTCACTGTCGTCCATCACCGTTGGAATCAGTCCTAATGCTATCCCCTATGGTGGTCTGTCAACCTTCAATTCATTCTCTATCTACAAGATCGTTTCCTTAATTTCGCCGCAATATCATTTTTTTAGTTATAATATATCTCTGAATCGATCAATTACTGAGTTTGAACTCACAAGAACATTGTAATGATCCTGTCATTTTTTTTCCTTTCTTTTTCTGTATTTTTACGGATAATTTTTTTCTGTTGATATATTCCTTTCTGAGTCCGAGTTTTGACCCTTTGGATCGTCGTGAGTGTTCGAAAATAGTTCCGACACTTATTCTTTCCGGAATTTGGTATCGTCCTGCTGAGGACCGTATCATCTCCTCATTTTTTTTTGACATTTTTCTTTTTCTGTCTTTTCTCCATTTGTCACTTATTCCTCGTAACCTCACTTTTTGTATTCGGATTTGATTTTTAACTTCATCTGCATTTATTCCATTTGGTTTTCACGAAATACGTATCTTTACTTTTGTAGAAAAGTACATTAATTATTCACTGTGTCCGTAGGGGCATGGATGTAAAGTTTTTTCGGAAAAATTTTCTTCTTTCTTGAGATGTTTTTCATAAATATCTTTTGAAAATATTTATTTCAGGAGTTTTTAAGAAAATATCTTTTGAAAATATTTTTATTTTGGGTTATTTGTGCAGTTATCCTTTAGTAGTTTGGACAAAATTTTGGTTTTATAATGTTGCTTTTTCAAGGTGTGTGTCCTGGATATGATACCAACAGCTTCGATTCAATCAAATTGTGTTTTGCAGTTTGTATTGCTGTATTAAGTAGCATATTAATACATTATTAGTCTTTTGGACCATATTAGGGTTTTATAACACTTCCCTTTCCATTATGGGTTCTTATCGTATCGGGTTTGATTGCGACAACACAGATTCTATTAAATATTGTACGCCAAGGGCAGCCGATACAATTGGTAACAGAATCATTAATTAATTTTCGCACTTTGCACATTTTTAAGAGATAGTTTTAGTAATTTATACATTTGTTTTGTTACTTAAGTATAAATCTATTTGTATTAATTCTCTTTATTGATGTTATTTTTAAGTAAAATTCTTAAAACCCTTGGAGGTACTCTTAGTTTTTTCTGTTTAAATTCATAATAAATTTATTTGCTAGCCACTTCGAACTCTTAAATTATTTGCGAATTCGAAATATACACAAACTTTCATCGTTAATAAATTTTAAATTCATCTGGCTATGGCTACTTCAATTTCTGGTGGGCCAAGAGTAACATGAATTCTAGCCCAAAGCAAAAAAAGAGTCCAAGCATCTTTGAGATTGAGATACAATTACAAATTCAATGACTAAACCAGCCCAAACCCATGATTAGAGCAACTAAGCCCAAAGCAACAGGCCCAAGGCAACCAAATAAATATAGCCGTTAGTAACCGCTAAATGGATATAGCCGTTAAAAAGGGTTAAATTTGAAACCATAACCCAATGTTGATTCAAGAATTATTTTCATTTATCATAGAAATTGTCATTATTACTTTTTCAGTATCACTTTCACACTATGTACAGCCGAGAAGTCTTAAATGAAACACCATCTCAAGAGATATGAATTTAGTGCATTTTTAATTATTAAACAGATAAATGAGTTAAATAGCTCTTTTACCTATATTTATTTTCCGAATTACCTGGCTATTAATAACATCTATCTTTGCATTACACTATTTTTTTGTTGACAAGAGAATAGTATTAAATACAAACATTTTACACAATTAAATCAGTAACATTCAAAAGTTACACTAAAAAAGATAAAAGTGGTATTACAAATGGGAAACAAAGAAACATAGGGCAATCAAATGCAATGCTCATCCCTGTACAGCAAATTTCACAACCATCCCACACATTGACATTCTTCCACCACGTCGAAAGCTCGAAGCCCCCATTATTTACAGTAATTTACAAGTTAATTCCAATCTCCTTATGTCAACCTCTTCGTTCGGTCATCGTCCTGTAACTGGATGTGTGATTGTGACATCGAACCACATTGAAAGGATACTCTTCAAGACTCGTGATGAACCTTCGTTTGTCATCGAAAATTGATGCATGGATGACTTCCTTCAAGCCTCTTCCTCCTTTGGAGCACACGTTAGAACGGCATCTGATACTGTGAGGAAGATCCTGTCCTCCCCGAGCGAGGTCGCAAAGTCTGATGCATGGAGCTTGTCAATCACAACTGGACCTGGATTTGCTAGAACAAGCTGTTGAAGGACAGAGACAGAACATTAGGTTATATTATGATCAAAGGGACTCAACAATAAGGACATCACTTAACCATTCATATTTTGTTCAGATAAGAGCAAACTTTTTGCCACTAAATTAAATCTTCACTAAGATCATGTGATGTGTAAACAGATTTCTACAATCCATCAAACCTGCTATACAAGATTCAACACAATACAAAGCATAGGCCTAAGGTGTCTCACTAAGCATTAGGTGTAAAGTTTGACCCCCTTTGAGTGCAAACAATTCCTTGGCGCCACGCCCGCAGGTAAAAACCCGAGTTTTACCCGACTTGTGTAGGCACAGACCCTTTAAGGGCTCATGGGGGGCCCACTAAAATTTTTTTTGCAAAATTACCAATAAATTTTGTGAAAATTTAAAAAATTCCCTACTTTTTTGTGAAAATCTAAAATGCCCCCACTCAATTTCTGATGATACCCCTCTATATTTTATAGTTGTTCAAGGCTGCCCCCACTCAATCAATTCTCTGGGTCCTGCTCACGTGGAGAGGGCAAAAAAAAAAAAAAAAAGACATAATATGAAGATCTGTTTTGACTTACTTGAATATCTCTTTTTTGAAGACTTCTATGTAGTTCTTCCAAAGCATGGATTCCACTTGTATCTATGTCAGTAACGGCTGCAAGAATGAAATCTTAGCACATAGTTCGTTTTGAATTTTTCTAACGAGTTTTCTGATGAGAAAATATAAATATAGACAACATTAGAAATCGCTTACGTGACATCTCAACTATCAGATACTGAATTCTGGGCTGCTTATTTTCTTTCAGTTCCACTTCCTCATCAATTAGCCATCTCAAAATCCTGAAAAAAATTTGGATGTCTCAGTTAATCTGGCTCTTTAGTAGAATGAACAGAGAAATGGTTGTATATACACCGAAAATTTCTAAAGAGAATTGAGATTTAGTACAAAACCCCAATTTTTTATTTTTTCATAATGTTCTTTTCTTCAATTTCTAATGTAAAACATCAGAATAAAATGATAAATGAACAAAAAGATAAAGTTCACACAAAACTAACAAGAGACTAAAAACACAGAAAGAATGCAATGTCCAAAATTAAGAAAATAAGAAGAAAAAAACCAAAGACCACTGATTGATACCTCTCTTTAACGTAGTTCGAGTTGGAAAAATATATTGCAGAATCAACTCTCACAATCAGAATGCCGGGAACCTTTGTTGCCTCTGGATATTGCAGTATGTTCCTGTAAACAGTAGTTCTTGGAAGCTTCCCCAGTATTGTGGTCCGTGGCCTTGTTACTTGTAGGAGGATTTTGGCGAATGATATTGATACCTATCGTGCCAAACAGTAATAATGAAATTTAAAGATGTAGACTGGGAAATTCAGAACTTGAAATGGAGGAAAGAGACTGTTTTCCTTACAGCAATTAAGAGGCCGATCTCAACAGAAACAAAAACCACACCAAAGAAGGCTCCCATACAGGCAACAAAATCAAACTTATCGATCTTCCATATGAGAATTACTGCATCAATGTCAACTAGCCCTACCACGGCAGATATAATGATGGAAGCGAGTATGGCATTTGGGGTGTACTTAAAAAGTGGTGTGATCACTAACAGCGTCAGTAAGACAACGCAGGACATCACAATGTTGGAGACTGCTGTATTGCATCCGGCCATGAAATTCACTGCTGAGCGAGAGAAGGATCCTGCACGAAATTCGGATTTTTTTTTTTTTTTTTTTATTTATTAACAATCAGTATAGCGAGAAAACATTTTTATCACGTTAAGGATATGTAAAATTGCTTCACCTGTAGCCACATAACAAGAAGTCATTGAGCCAATGACATTCATTGTTCCTAATGCTACCATTTCTTTGTTTCCATCTATCTGATAGTCTTTCATTGCTGCAAACGTTCTTCCAATTGCTATGGCTTCCTAAAAACCGATCAGAATGTAACTAGATACTCTAAAGGCTATATTCAAAATATTCAGAATAAATTGAGAGAAGGGTGCAAAATTTTCTTACCGTCAATGCTACCATACCGGCCACAGCGCCAATCTTAAAACCTTTAGCTAGATATTTACCCGAGAAAAATATTTCTCTCACGGATGATGGATTGATGCCTTGTTCAATATGGTTGACCTTATAATATCATTGAGCCTGTTAGGTTACCATTAAGTTTAAGAAATTATTAAAGAAAATCATTAATAAGTACTTACAATTAGAACACCATCCTTGTCAGCACGGGTAATATACACAAAAAAGGTTGAGATTATAACGGAAATCAATGGAGCGATTGCAGGCAACCAAAACAATTTTCTGTTCTTCTTTCCCTGTTCCCACAATTAAGAAAACAAAAAATTAAAAAACAAACAAAATGATGCCTACTATATAAAAACTGAAGCTGAATTGAAAGAAAATGAGAAGCATTAGAGATTCTTACAATGTACTTGGCAAGTAGAAGAAACACCAAGAATGATACTCCTATGAGAATGGTCTGCCAGTTCCACTGTGATGTAAAGAGAGAACAGAAAATTTCGAAAACTTACTCAAGGTTAATGGATTATTCTTGATTTTGTGCCGAAGGGAAAACAAAGAATGAGATTAAATCGAGGTTGCTCTTACCCCATGGTCTACTGTACCCCACACTGACTTCATAACAGAGACAATATCAGTCTTCTTCGTGAAGTGCTGTATGCCGAGCAAACCCTTAAGCTGTTGAAGGGCAATGGTAATAGCAGCTCCAGCCATAAACCCGACAATGGCAGCATGGGACAAGAAATCAATCAAGAATCCCAATCTAAAAACAAAATCAAAACACCATTTTATCGACATGTAAAGGATCGGGAAAAACCATGACAATAGAGATTGGTTACAGAAAGTCAAACCAGTATGTGATCAAGAAGCCGTGTACCTGAAAAAACCAAGTGTGACTTGAGTGATTCCAGCAAAGAACGTGGCTGTGAAGGCAAGACGCAGATAATCAAGTTTGTTACTGCTATCAATCTCATTCTCCAGCAGAGTTCCGAGCAAGAGAGATACCACAGCCACTGGTCCTATGGCAATATCTCTTGAGCTACCCATAAAGGCGTAAACCAGAGGTGGAACAAAGCTACTGTCTGCAATATAAGGAGAAATATCCATAATTCAGATTGTTGAAATTACTATATGTAGGCTAGCTGTAGAGAAGAAACAAGAGAACTTACACAATCCATATTGGGGAGGAAGATTCGCAAGCTTTGCATATCCGATATCCTATATTATGAAGTCAAAGACTATTAAGATTTTCCCGGGAAAATAATTATATATATATATATATATATATGTATGCATGTGTGTGTGTGTGTGTCACACAATATTTCATGTAAGTTCTCTACCTGAGGAATACAGAGACTTGCAATGGTTAGTCCGGCAATGAGATCGCCCTTGAACTTTGAAAGATTGTAGTTTCTTCCCCACTCGAAAATGGGGAAAACAGTTTGAATGCCAAGGACAAACTTCCGCGATCTTGGCTGGTCCTTGAAAGGGCGCAAAGGGTCATCTGAAAAGAAAGTCTCCTTCAGAGTTTCCGTGAATTCCTTGAACAACTTCTGCTTCGGAGGCACCCCCACCTTGTGGACATAAGGCAAGTTCTCCGACTGGCGACGTGATGGAGACCTGCTTGCAGTGTCCATCTCATTCGTTCCGAGCTCGTCACTAACACGGAAACTCATTGCAGCTGGAGAATATTGATAAACTTTTACTGCAAGAAAAGAAAAAGAAGCAGACAGTCAGATCACCTCTATAGATAACTAATTACATCATCTTGACTACTATATATGTCAATTGCTTAAGAATCTAATTCTTTTTTTCAATTGCTCAAGAATCAAATTCCATTCTATTCATAGATCATCATTCTTCGCATTCCTAAACAGAATCATATGAAGTTAACAGGATCATATATCTACAGAATGAAAAGAACGTATGAGTACCGGAAAAGATGTTGCTGACGAAACAGCCAGTTGCCTCATAAAGCTTTGTAAGAGGATCTAAGGAGAGTGTGGAATATGAAAGTGAATGAAAAAACACTTGCTTAAATAAGTTTTGAAAGGAAATTAAAGTCAACAATGTATCTGGACCTTTAACTACAAATACTGATCACCCAAAAATATTAGGGATAGAGTAACTGCAATATAATTTTTAAACAAATGACACTTGTATTGTTTAAAAACGAAACAGATAATAATCAATAATCATATCAAGTTGGTTAGAAACATAAAATATGTTCTGGGTAATGTTGACTTGGAGGATTGAGTACATATGTGTAGCAAAAAATCTACACATACCTAGCCATTTTTTATCATCTCTTAGCTTTGATTTCTTCAACTATCTGCTATCGCTGTTGTAGCGATAATGTAAAATGACTACATTTATAGGCAGTGATAATCATAATGATCCGGAGTTGTTCTATGACAGAATGAAGTTTTAGTCTCTTTTTTTCTGCCTTTCAAGGGGGGATTAAAATTCGATATTATTTATCAGAAGTTTCAATAATCAATGGTAGAAAAGTCTTAGAAATTGATTGCTGTGACTACTTTAACAATTTGGACTTCAACGCGTTGACGCAAACTGATGAGAAATCAAGGAGACGACGACAATATTTTACAAAAATAAATGGTAGAAAAGTCTTAGAAAATGAATTGAGTGAACAGACTAGGAAGAAAATTCATCAAATGAACCAAAATAAGGTTCAAGGTATCAAAATATTTCTGTCCAAAGGCTTGGAATTCAAATTGTGGCAGGTGTTGAATCATGACAACGAATAACGCAATGTTTGACATAAAAACGATCATTTCCATTTTCAAAAATTCTTACAAGTCACGAACGAGAGATTATATTAAATTTTCGTACAATGGGAACATAATTCAAATACTTGATGCTCATACAATATCATCAGCAAAAACTACACTTTCTTCTGTACTTTGTTAACGTAATCACGACGTTAATGACTTTCAAAGTGTGCAAACGTATGTAATGAAGTTCATCTACAACCAAATGTATTAAAAGATTTTAAAATGAATGTAAAGAAAAACTATTCTTTATGCATTTTTTTTTCCACAATAATATAAATAAACAAGTTGAAATACAGTAAAGAAATCATAATATTTGACTTCAAAAAAGAAATATTTACATGAATCAACAACCAATGAAGCCAAAAAGAGAGAGAAAAAAGTGAAAAAATTATGTACTTGTGAATGAGTCTTTTCACCTTTATCATCATCCTCCAACTTGTTGTCTGTCCTTTAAAAAGGGTCTACATTTGAAACCATCCATAGTGTCCCATTGCAGTACCCCACCAGGCTAATCTTTCCTCCAACTGGAAGACAGGACACAAAACAAATTATATATATGTATATATCATCCATATACACATATAAAATAGTAAATAAATCAATACATGATAACAATTCCAGATTTCCCAGAAAGATAAAATAAAGAATAATAATAGAAAATAGAAGAATTTTAAAATTAGAAAAATGTATGAGTTAACACCTCCCCTTCTCTTGCGCTACGTACCCCATATTAGCCTGAAATAGAAAAAGATTTAAGATCAGATCAGAAGAAAGAGGAGATGCCCAAATTGCGTCTAGGTTCACTGAATTTGATTGTGTTTATATCTTCCTATCTATTTATTAAATTATTTACGGAATATAAGAACCAGAAATAGAAATGGAGACTGACTCTAGAGAGAGAGATTCTGTAAGTCAGCACCAGGGTGTAAGAAGAGTGGTTTGATATATATATATATATATATATATATCCACACACATGACAAATACATATACATACATGGAAATGATAGCTCAAGAGCAAGAAAATTTTATCTACAAAGGTAATTATAGTTGGTGTGCATAGATTTCTTGTTAACTATTGAAAAAAATAATCGAAGGGTGTAGAAAAAAAAAAAAATATATATATATATATATATATAGATATATATAGGCCCCAACCCATTACACCGTGATATATTATTTTTGTGTTATGGTGCAATGAATTGCGGCCAATATCAGTGTAAATCGATTGAATTAATTAGTTTATAAAGATGTGTAAAGATACTAAGCCTTAAAAATGAATAAACAGATACGTTTTTGATACGAAATCATGATATATATATATATATATATATATATATATATATATTTATTTATTTATACACACCTATACACGTGTGTATATATGAGTCATTGCAATTCAACAATTTGGTGAGTGGCATATGAACACAGAGAAAGAGCCAAGAAATCAATCAGATCCCATATAGTAAATTGATTTCGATCACATTTTTCAATTGATGTTTTCTATCTCTTTTTGTTGTAAATGTGATGTGATAACCAATGAAATTGTGAAATTGTATGCAACAATGCAAAGAGTATTGGAAGGGAATGAAAAAGGACCAATAAATTTCAGTTTCGGAGATCCCAAAGTGTCCTTACCTCGACATCAAAAGGCATGAATGATGGAAGATTAATATATAAACAATGTGGTTTCTTTGTCAAAACCCTTTTGTCTCTCCCTCCAAGTTTCTAGCATCGCCGACTGTTGGGCCCAAGATGAAACCATATTGGACTTTGGAAAGGCGTTGGAGAATATAATAAGAGTAATATTAAAGTTTTGTAGATAGGTAATTTAAATATTAAATTAAAATATCTTTGAGGTGAGGTGTATAATTGTATCCAATTTTATGCCGACGGAGGACTCGCTGCGATTCGTGGTGGTGCAACCATATTGGACTTTGGAAATGTGTTAGAGAATATAATAAGAATAATATTAAAGTGATGTCATTTTTATCATTTCTATTAACCACGTTCTTTCGGTAATCTAAATATTAAGTTGAAATATCTTTAAGGTGAGGTGTATAATTAGACTTTGGAAAGGTATTAGAGAATATAACAAGAGTAATATTAAAGTGATGTCATTTTTATCGATCTCTATTAACCACTTTCTTTTGTGCATCGGTAATCTAAATATTAAATTGAAATATCTTTGAGGTGAGGTGTATAATTGGACTTTGGAAAGGTGTTGGAGAATATAATAAAAGTAATATTAGAGTGATGTCGTTTTTATCGATCTCTATTAACCACTTTCTTTTGTACATCGGTAATCTAAATATTAAATTGAAATATCTTTGAGGTGCGGTGTATAATTGTATCTAACTTTATGCCATGTAGTGTGCACCTCTTACACAAGTGTCATATTGTGTAATGTTCCAGTGATTAGATTACTTTTTGTATTTGAGAGTCCGTGTTTAAGCATTGCATCATCTCTCTTCCCTCTTATCGCTAACCCCTAACATTCTTGCCCAGTGGCAACGAGAAGGCATTATGACAAATATTTATTTAAGTAAGTAATGGGTGAAAACGTTACTTTTATATTTTAGGGATTTTACAAAAAAAAAAAAAAAAAATTGTGGTCGAAACATCAAAACAATCAAAGTTAACCTAAGGTCCTAATCCCCTTTAAAAATTATGGGCCAGAACCTAACTGAGGCCCATACTAGCTCATCCTATATAATTCACACTTCTATATATTAGATTTTTTTACCCTCACACTTCCATATATTAGATTGTACTTTGTCATGTGTGTGTCATAAAATAAAGTAGGGTCCTTGTTAACCCTTTTATCAACATCATGATTGGATAATGTGTGTTTGTGTTTGGCTTAGGCCTTGTTATTAATAAACGTTTTACTTGCTTCTCAAAAATAAAAAATAAATACGAGTAAAATTTATGTGTGTATTATTTTTTTTCATGACAAGAATGTTAAGTGTTAATAATTAGTGGGGTGGGGATGCAAAAGTTTGAGATCGAACTCTTAAGAAAAACGAAAAAAAAAAAAAAAAAACCCTTGGGTTGCGAAGGTGTTTACAGCTTTATAGATTCTCTATTTTGTGCAAATACAACCATCCTACATTGCCTCCGTCACTGGATCAAGTTCACTTGTCCACCTAGGCTTTTTCAAGCTTCGTATATATATATAAACAACAACATATCATAATAATATATTACAAAAGAGATGTGAAAACAGTTTATTTATATAAACCTTATCCAGTGGAATGAGCAACATATTAATTTTCTAAGGTCTGACTTTGGGATTTTTTATTTATTTATTTTCATCTTTTTTGGGGGTTTGTAATTTGATGGGGTGGTTGACATATATTGAGAACTGATAATTAGAGAAGTGGAATCAACATATAAAAATAAACTATGAACATGAAGAGAATCATTCATTCCAAGATAAGGTTTGGCATTTCCCTACCAAAATATCAAATGATTTAGTTTATTAAATGTTAACAAATCAATATTCTATGTAAGTATATTAATCAAAACTCTCAACTTACAATTTTATTTTACCCATACAATTTAATTAAATTGATTAGATTAATCATTTAAATATTAAAAAATTGAAATACCCTCACCTTCCCTCAAGTTTGATCAAATATCTTCCGGTTGAAACTATTGTCAAAATAGTCTCTGACCTCTCCTGAGATTTGTCAAAATAACCCCTAACACCCTTAAAGTTTGTCTATATTTCTCTTAATGTTAATCAATAGAATATTTTCTAAATGCTCTAACTACCCTTAAGTGAGAGAAAATGATTCAAAGACCTTGTTAGAATATCAAGTGACAATTTCAATTAAATTTAATTAGACAAAACTATTATTTCTTATATATATCTATTTTATTGAATTATATAAATTATTATTAGCCAATGTCTATTTTATAGAATTATATGAATTATTTGTTGATATTTTGTTTTTGACATCAAATATGCTAAATTATATGTTGAAATGGTTATTTGATATACTATAGTCATTTTCACTCACCTAGTGATAGTTTGGGCATTTATAAAATATTACATTTATATAGTTAACTCTGACTAGAGAAATTTGAACAAACCTCAAAGGATGCTAGGGAATATTTTTATAATAATTTCAATTCAAGTATATTTGGACAAATATAAGGGAGATGGGAGTATTTTATTCATAAATAAATAAATGGTCAATGGAGTTGATATCATTTGGTTTATAGTTTTGTAAGTGGTAATATTGATAACAGGTTATCACCGTACAGGGGCAGAACTAAAAGGTAAAGGAGGGCAAGATTAAAATTTTATAATAATTTTAAGAAAGATATTAGCAATATTTTATGAATATATATTAAAAAAAATCGCCCTTGCATGTAGGTTGGTCCCTGATGACGACGTACTCTATAAATTTAGAGCATCTCCAGCGTTTT